GCTCTGTCATGCCATTGTAGCTACCCGATTCTTTCCGGTGCTCTCCATACCCGTCCCTTTACTGCGTGCCCTGACCGGTCGCACCTCTAACTGGTTAGGTGCTTTGTTCCCCACGAGTACATTTTTTAGCTGTGTTGGCGCAGACATTCTTTTCCATTGTATGTAAATAGGCAATATTTTTTTATTCGCTGCTTTTGACCCGTTCTGATACCAATCCTGTATTCAAAACTGTCTTTTTTTTTTTTTACACATAAATCACTATCGGCATAAATATACACGGGCCCTGGGGAACGTTCACATTGCCTTAAAACCTGATAAATTGCGTGGCGCTCGGCAGGCTGAGCCGATCCACGGTCTAAGTGTCCCTGAACGACTTCCTCTTCTAAGTTAACGGCAGCGTATTTTACGCATCTTTTCCCTTGTACTCCCGCCAGTAAACCAGACGTGCTTTTCCTGGCCCACAGAATCTAGTTCCTCCAGTGGGGGTGCATCTGCCACAGCAAGTCTTTGCTCCAGAGTGACCTCTGGACATTCATGTGGGCCCTGTTTTCAATCTTTTGTAATCGTGCGGCAGCCAAGGCCATGTCATTAGCCGCCAAAGGAATAACAAAAGGCCGTGATTCACCAGGGGAACGCCGGGCTGGCGCTGTGAGGGCAGGGTTAAAGCCGAGTCCTGCTCTCTTCCCCATTCCCAGCCTGTCTTTTTCTTTAGCAGTTTCCACAATGGGTGAGGGATTTCGGCATATTTATAAAGGGGTGGGCTAAGAAAACCGAATCCTCCTAGCAGTACCTTAAAGAGTGGGTGTCGGTAGGGGCCGGCATTTCTACTAGTGCCCTGATCTTCCTCTGATCTACCTGTCTCCCTGTCACGGAGTCCCTGGGCGATGCTCTGGAACTGCTCCCCACAAAGCCAGGCAGGACCTTGGGGAGCCTCCTCTCCCTCGGAGCAGACTGTCTTCAGGGCAAGGAGCTCACACGGCTTCACCTCCTGGGTCTCTCCTGGGAGCATTCAGCATAGGCCCCTCCGTGCGCTTCCCCCAGCGAGTCCGCCCCGGCGGGGTCCCGGGAAGCCAAAGGGTTCTGCACCCCCCACTTCGCAGTCAGACGTGACTCTCAGCCAGCCAGTAAAACAGAGGTTTATTAGATGACAAGAACACGGTCTAAAACAGAGCTTGTAGGTACAGCGAACAGGACCCCTCAGCCGGGTCCATTCTGGGGCCCAGCGAGCCAGACACCCCTGTCTGCCCTCACTCCCCATCCCCAGCCAGCTCCAAACTGAAACCCCCTCCAGCCCCTCCTCCTCTGGGCTTTGTCTCTTTCCCAGGCCAGGAGGTCACCTGACCTCTTTGTTCACCTTTAGCTATTCCCTTGCAAGGGGGAAGGGCCCTGGCCATTTGTTGCCAGGAGACAGAGTGTTGGCCATGTATGCACACCGGAGACTTAAGAAATGCATCGGGGAAACTGAGGCACCCACACAGTATTCAGAGGAAACATTAAGAACAGTCCCTTCTTGTCCCACGACTACGCCCAGGTGTGTAACCTGAGGTAGCACTGACTGACCCTTGTCTCAGGCTACTTTGAACCCCGGTTCCTGAATTAGCATTAGTGTTTGAGCAGACCAAGTTTGTCATGTTTTCGCATTTCTTGTACCCCTTCTACAATATACACGGCACGTGTTCGGGGGGAAAGGCACATTCTGCCATAGTTTAACGTCGATAAGATTAGCCATATCGATTTTTACATAAGGTGTAACTGGTTCTTTTGTGCTCACAGAGTTTGCATGTACCCTTAGCAAGGTGACAGTTTGATTACACAGAGCCACCTTAAGGGCACTGTCTTTTCCTACAGCTCTTAGCTGCTGTTTTGTTACCGAAAAACCAACTCCAGAATCATTTCCCCTTCTCCTGGTTTGACTGCCCTGCTGCAGCTCCGACTTTGGTCTTTTTAAAAAGATATTCAACTTATAAAGCATTAACACACCTTACGGGTTAAACATTAAATCCCAAAGCCAAACAACCCGCGTTACCTGTGTCTGGCAAAACATGTTTTTCAGTTTTGCAACTTTGAACAAAAGATTCCGATGGTTTTTAGTGGTGTTATTTAAACACAAAACCAGTTCAGCTTAAACCTACAAAACAAGAGTTTTACAAACCGGGTTGTTGGCTTCGGTTCTAAACACTCCACATAGTTGCACAATCTATTTATACACTCATGTTCGGGGCTGGTTTTTTTAACGTTCCTTACGTTGCATTAATTTTTACACAGCTGTACACAGATTACGTTTGTATACATTTGGGGGCGGTTAAGGTCCAATAGAAACCCCTGATGTTCTTTTAGCAAATTTGACTAAATTTTTCATAGTCAAATGATTTCAATCAGAAAGTCTCTTTGCCTGGCTTATTTACAGACATTCCTTTGGAAAAGGATTCGTTTTCCCTTCAGAACGGCTGCAAAGAAACCAAGAATTCTCTTTCTCTAACACTTTTCCTTTTTAACTTTTTTACAACGTTCAACTGCTTCATTCCCTCCAGCCTCTGCAAAGTTAAACGTCTCCCTCTCGTTCCTTTAATCGCTTCCTTCTCTCCCCAAATGACGCCTTCATCCACTCAGATTTCACCATTCCCAGGATTGTGCCAGGGGTCCGAATTCCCCAGGCCTGCACTTACCATTTTTTTTCTTACTCTTGACACTCTGCCCTCAGGGCTTCCAACCTCATTTCCAATTTTTGTATCTGTTGCCTGCCTGCTTGTCTGGGCCCGATCCTGCTTTCCTCATCGACCAGTTCCTTGTCATGGACACAGGTTTTGTCCCACTACCAATTTAGCAAGGAGAGTGGGCTCCTTAACTAGCCCCCACCCCTCCTGGTCCCTTTCCTTAAACATTTCTTTCAAAATTGTGAATTCACCACCATGTCACTCAGAAAATACTCCACTGCCCAAACTCCTCTATCCCTCAGAGTTTGGTTTAACCGCGCAAGATCTGTTTGAAAGGAGCAATCTCTTGAACAAAAGATCGTCTTTGGATTGCTTCCTTTTAAACATTTCTTACACTATTTGCCCACACTCCTATATCCTTCAGAGTTGGGTCTCCCATAGAAAATACCGCTGGACATATTTCTTTATGAATCTCTTTATCTTTATAACTCTCCCGTGCCCACGCTCGTGCTGGGACTTACAAAACACAAACGTCTATCCCCACTAAAAACAGCTCTGCCTGACAGAGCAGGAGGGGGGAACGCGAAGCCCCCAACATTTGGGCTCGAACCCGCAGGTATCTTCACTTGTGCAATTTCCCCCCAACAGACAGGTCGGAGCGAGGACTCGAACCCTCCCCCTTATGGCCCGGCACCCTTACGACCGGAGGTGCGTATACCTGGACAGTTTGTATATATTATATTTTATCTGTATCCACCGATACGTTTCATACATGCTACATTATTATTTTTTATTTTCTTATTTTCAATGATATAAAACACAAACATAAAACTTTACAACTGCACCAGGCCTGGGGAACCTGAGAGTTTCCTGTGCTGGGGTCAGACGCTCAATAAACCTCCTGTGTTACGCTGGCTGAGAGTCGCTCTGGGCTACAGAACAGGGGGGGGTGGAGGCCCCGGGGGGTCCAGAGCGAGGGGACTCCCTGAGGGGGCCCACGGCAGAGACAGACGTGCTAAGGCTCAGAGAGGTGTGGCTCCAGGAGGTGGAGGGGCCTGACCCCTGGGAGAAAGTGGACCCCTAAGAAGGGCTGTCCCACTGAAAGGGGCACCCCCCACGGACCACACGGTGTGGGCACCTGTGAGTCCGTGACACCCCCCTCCTCTGAATTTTTCTTCTATTCTTTATCTCCTGCTAAAAATGTCCCTGGGCTGGTCTAAGCCAGATGTGTAAATCGTGCAAGGCCGAGCGACTGATCTGCACGTTCCCCGTTCGCAGCCCGGAGAACACCCTGGATAAAGGATCACGAAGGAGACGCAGCAGATGGCAAATCAGTTGTGAGACGTTGGCGCCTATTTGGTTCTGTTTGGGGTTGTTGATTGGTTTTTCTCTCTCTTTGTATTTTCTTCAAAAAATTCAGAGAAAGTTCCTGGGAAAGAAATCTCCACCCAGGTCCGGGTCCCCCAGTTTTGTTTCCCGCTGGGGAAGAGGGTGGCTAGTTCCCGGAGGGCTGGGGCTAGCAGCTCGTTAGGAGCCACACCTGAGCTGGATCAGTTAATTCCCTAGCGAGGCCAGCGAGGGGGGGAGCTCAGGAGACTTCAGGGAACAAGGTAAGACCCTGACACGGGTGAGGAGGTGGACCGGGGAGAGACCCCGACCCAGCCAGGGTGGACACGGGGCTAGCTGCTACTTGGGGACCCGATGAAGCCAGGCCTGGGAAGATGTGGGGGTCGTGGGCGGGGTGGGGCCCAGAGGGGGGAGGAACCTGGGGGGCTGGAGGAGTGGGGAGCACGGGGCGCCGGGGATGAGATGTCATGGGGGGGATTGGAGGCTGCGTTAGGGCGGGGGGGTTGTTCTAGATTATTTTGCCCTCTGGCTTGGTAACAAGCCAGCTCCGGGCACACACACCCCCCATGTCTGCCCCCTCAAGGAGGGGTCCTGTCAGACAAGGGAGCCATTCTGGGAAACTGAGGCAGGCTGCCCGGTTGAACCCCAGCTGGACACTGGCAGGACACCCCCTCTCTTCCCCCCCCCAGGGAGCTGTGTTTGGGTCCGGGGCGCCAGCAGGAGCAGTGGGGGGTGGGGGGCTACAGTGCCCCCCAAAGGACGGGCTGAGAGACGGCCTGATGTGGGGGTTCCCCCACACTGGGGCATTGATGGCAGAGGGTCTGGGGGCTCTGAGCGGGTTCCTCTGCCTGGCTCCCTCTCTACCAACCCCGAATCCTCCCCCCCCACGTGACACAGGAACCCCAATGAACCCCGGATCCCCCCACTCCCCCAGGGTGCACTGGGCCTGCCCCCTCCAGGCCCCCAGGCCAGGCTCCCCCCCCCAATAAAGACACAAGGTGGCTGGGAAGAGGCTCTGGGCCAGGTTTAATGGGCGGGCACCCCTGGGGGGGGCCCTAGGGCGGGCAGCAGAAGAAACGGGCGTCGTTGAGGGCCGTGTTGTCCCCCTGATGGCCCCCCGGCTCCTCCACCCGGGTCTGGAGGCCGCAGACGGAGCCGGAGAGGCAGGGGCGGCTCCAGGGCCCCTCCTGGTCCCCGGCGTCCCCAGCGTCGCCGACCAGCAGCTCCCCGTCGGAGCAGGCCACGCGCAGGCCGGTGGCGGCCACGTCGTCCCCAGTGTCCTGCCGCGGCTGCACCCCCAGCGAGACGGCGCGAAGGTAGCCCCGGGGGCAGTACCGGGCACCCTGCCACCTGCCCCACCTGAGCCAGGGTAGGAGAGGAGGGGTTAGATCCATCTGTCCATCCGTCCCTCCACCCATCTACCCACC